TGGAAGTCAGCAGAGTCAAAGTTTTATTGCAAATAAGTGATATGCATTAAAAATTATGTTCAGTTAAGCTGGCCACACACCAGTAGAATTTTGTTCAAAACATTTTTTTTTTGGAACATTAGTTCGATTTTCAAATAGTTAAATGGAGAACTATGAGGTGAGTGATTCACACATCCTCATAGTTAGAGCTGACCTGTGACATTGAAACTGTCACACGTTGGCGCTACACATCGGAGAGTGAGCAAACGCATACCATTGCTCACTCACTTAACCCCTTTTAAACTGGCGATTCTTTTTTTCGCCACTGCGGTTAAAAAGACTCGAAGCAGCAGGATGGAAAATGTGTCCTCTAACGGACAAAACTAACCGTGAACGTGGTTCTTGCTCAGGAAACGCCATTCATTCCAAAAACTACATTTCAAACATCAATTGTCAGGTCTGTGATGATCATTATCAAAAGTTCTGATGAAAAATTTCATATGAACAATTGTACAAAAATCTAACAGCTTTACTCCTTCAGTACAATAAAATAACTCTTTAAAAAGAAGCCTAAAATATGTAAACAGGCTACTTGTCACAAATTATTTTTATTCATTACCAGTATTTATATAGCGCTGACAATTTACACAGCACACATTCCCATCGGTCCCTGCCCTCGGGGAGCTTACACTCTAAGGTCCCTATCTCACAAAACACACAGGGACAATTTAGACAGGAGCCAAATAATCTTCCAGCATGTCTTTGGAGTGTGGGAGGAAACTGGAGTGTGGGAGGAAACTGGAGTACCCGGAGGAAACACACAAGTACAGGGAGAACATGCAAACTCCATACAGATAATGTCTTGACCAGGATTTGAACCACGGACCCTCAAGTACTGCAAGGCAGAAGTGCCAACCACGCCACTGTGCTGCCCATAAAAAGAAAACAAATCCCACAACACACAGCAGAACTCTGGGGTAATTAACCCTTACAGCAGGGAACTCCCGCACTGCAAGGGTTAACTCCTCTTTTAGGTCTAGGGAGGAAAATAACTAGATAGAAAAGAAATCACCTAATCCTCTGAGCCAGCTAGCTGTGACAGCTCTCCCTCCAGCAGCAATTGTATGTCCCACTGGGTCCTCACGCCCTATACACTGTGTAAAGAACATGACTCAGGGACCTTAGACTGCTGGAGAGGAGAGGCTCCGGGGACCAGTCTAAGAGCAAGCCGGCTCAGAGGTTCAGGTGACTTAACTTTATTTCCCTAGACGGGAGTAGCTCCGCTACAAGAGTTAATCATTTTCCCCATAGTTCTTTAAGCCCCATGCACACCGGAGTGATTAAAAGTGCAATTTGAAGCTTCACTAGAAGCGTGTCGACGCTCGGCCCTAGGATTTTTTTATTATATCCAATGGTGCCCTTCACATCCGAGCTGGTCGAAATAGTACATGAGCTTTCTTTTTTTTGCAGTTTGGTATTTTGGCCCAAACATATTTCAACAGGAGCGCTCAATAACTAGCTTTCATTTGGCTACAAATAATTAAAAAAAATACTCAAGTCTGAAGTGTACATGAAGAGAAAAAAAGGGAAGGGCATGTAGGTGAAGTGTGAATGGGGCCTTAGAATACCAAGGTTACAATACAAATAAAAGCCAAGCAAATGCCTACGTAGCGGAGCAAATTACACACTGCAAGATTAGGATAAGGAAAGCTTACCGTGATAACCGCTTTGCTGAGACAGATGGATCCCCTGCAGCCATATTCAGTCTCATCTTCTGACTTGTAATAGCTCAAGGTGTTGTTTTTCAGGACAACCCATCGATCCTGCCAGCCATGAATATAGTTCGTCCACTAGATAAAACAAAGCAAAGTAACTGCTAGTCAGAAAATCCACAAGGATCTTTTTTAAGTAAGCAAATATTTAGCACATGCAACTTTCCAATAGTTATCACAAGACACATTGTACACTATACGGCCATGTAAATCACACGGAAGCCGAGCGCTAAAGATTGAAAAGGGTCAGTCCACACAAAGCTGAGAATTGAGTTTTTACTAGATGCTGTAGTGAAGACATCTGCTGTTTTCTTATGTCTTTGAGACTGGTGGAGGGCTTGATTAGGTTCCTGGATTAGTGCAGCCAATATGATCACAATAAGAGGGACATGCCGCATTTTATTCAGTTTCTTCTGTATCATGTACTCAAACAATTCATCCCCACACAGCTATCTCCTCATGTATCACTTGCCCCTCCCTTCTAGATTGTAAGCCCTCTGGGGCAGGGCCCTCCTTACCATCTTGTCTTGTAATTGTAAATGTCTTCCTTATAGTGTAAAGCGCTGCGCAAACTGTTGGCGCTATATACATCCTGAATAATAATAAAATAATAAACCATGAGCAACTGCAACACATTGAAAACTCCCAAGCCGACAGGAATAAAGAGTCAGGAATTATGAAGGGAGATTTCGCTACTCTGGTATTATAGACTAAGAAGAAGCCATGGGTTCATTTATCTCATCAGGCTCCAGAAAAAAAATATTTGTAGACCAGCCAAACATCCGTGGACACTAAAAGACAGTTAAATCAGGAAATATTTGACAAAATCATGCAACAATCTTGCTGAATATGGCATGACAAGATTTTTCTAGGGGACCAATATTAACTTGTCAAGGGCTCCCACTGTTGGCCTCCTTTTGGACTCATGCACACCGATGCAGATACAAGGCATATGGCCATAGAGCGTGAAATATGCCTATATCGGAAGTTCCCAGGAGCCTCGGGTGCTGCCTTTTTGTGTGCATAGGATTGTATGGACAGAATATACTGTATGCAGGTACATGAACCAGTAATCCTTTGGACACAAAAATGGCAGCAGCTGGGGCTCCCAGGCGTTACTTTGTGCTGCATGCCCATTTGCCTGTATTTGCTTCCCTGTGCATGAGCCCTCTGCCCTATGCAAAGGAACCCTACATGTTAGAGGACCAGAAAATGATTTTTAGTGAAAGGGGGAAAAGGTCCGCTTTAAGTACTTTTGAGTTAGACACAGAACAAGAATACTGTAAATGAGTTTTGGAAGTGTCCCAATTCCTTAGCTCTACTCCTTTTCAGATCAGCGACTCAGAGCATTGAAGCCAATACATCAGCGTGACTGCCAGGAAGCTAGCATTCTCCAAAGCAGAATTTATCAATGGCAGCCTCCATTATATTCTTATGACAGTCCCTTTAAGATAGGGACACAAAAATGAAATTTCGGAGCTAAGCCTGGTAACCTGCTGGATCAACTGACTGGATTAATTATGAATAGGTGCAACAGTATACCTGAGAGAACAAAGAACCTGACAGATAGGTACAAGGGTCTCAGTGAATGTTTACTAGAGTAGCCAGAAAGATCCTTTTATTTGGATATTCCTGGTTCTTTGTTTCAATCATAGAAATGCAATACAATGTCAGACTCATGATCCATGTATACAAATAGACATTGGCGTCTTGAAGATTTCTTATAACTACCAGCTAGTCAGCAAAGGTTCCGTTTAATTATGGAGTGTTCTCAAAACAAAATAAAAGCACCAACTATATTAAAAGGAGAACTATGAGGCGAGTGATTTATACTCACCCATAGTTAGAGCCGGCCTGTGACATTGAAAGTCACACGTCGGCTCTATTGATCGGGAAGTGAGCGAACGCATACCACTCACTTCCCGATCATCTCCCTGCAGCTGACATTCCCCTCAGGGATTCCCCCCC